GACGTTTGATCAAGGGATGGGGTTCACTTGTCTCTTTGACGAGTTGTAATATGGTTCTACGAATGGCGAGACTCACTGACGATGCCGACGAACCGTCTGGGAATGTACTACGTCCATGGTCCTATTCTGGAAATGATGATGCATACAATCGACTTCGGACTAGGTGCGTTCCTCTAAGTCTTCCTACCAATGTGACCAAGTTGCGAAAACAAGGTCAAACAACTTCTATAAAATAATTACGTTCTAATTTTCATCAGTATTTCCGTAATTGCATGAAACATAGTAACTTAAAAATATTAAGTAAACTATGAGGTTAAAGTGAGGTGATGGTATAATAGGACAATAAAGAGGAAATTAGAAAAGCGTAGATATAAATAAAACGCAAAAGCTTCTAGATACCTGGAGTTGCAGAGTGAGAAATAGGTTGCCCTTGTTGCCCACTAGAAGGGACCTGGTTAGTTGTCTGTACAGCCGGATTGGAGCCGTAGTAAGCGGCATGAGTTGCAGCAGCCTGAGCAGCAGCCAGGACGGCAGCAGCGGGTGACGCATAAAATCCAGGAGATATTGAAGTGGCAGTAGCGGCCTGAAGAGGAGAGGAGCCAAGAGGTACGTGGCCAGAACGAGCCATCGCCTGAAGTAGAGAGTCGTAGGCGATCTGGAATTACAAAGGTTAGTTAACAGTTTATAAGATATCCGGACATAAATAAGGAGTTTCCTCAATGACACATCCCAAGTACTCTGTTGCTTGTCGGTTTTGGTATAGTGGCCAAGACACAACCCTTTGCCAATTTATATGCACAATCCAGTTTCGATGCTAAATGTATAGGCATGAGACATTGTCGAGGTGGAAACTGAAATCTGGTCATGATTAAAAAACCAAATGCAGCGATATTTAACATCTTTGTGGATTAAAAAAGGAACCACAGTGACTACTGCCGTGGTGTTACGTGGCTAGAGGTAAACCTGAGGAAAAAAACAAATATGGGGAGGGGCTAGTAATAGGCTTGTATCGTCATTATGAAATGAAATATAATCTGTTAGGCCTTGCCTAATCGAATAACTGGCCTAGACGTATAGAGAAAATGCTAAAGGGCTGTCTAAATTCTGTCCAGATAAACAAGTGCAGATATGGAGGGACTATAAGGTTCATAGGATAAGATAATTTGCATACTAAAATCTTGCCACAAAGGATATGAATTTACGAAAATGAATAGAATAAGAAATAACAAAGTATTTTTGGTAGCACTAAATGATAAGAGAGTATTTAATGTTATTGAATTGCCTTATGTATACCAAAATAATGAATATATCAGTTCGAGGCTAAAGCACATTTCGTATGAAAATGCATGAAGAAGAGATTCGTATGTCGATCTCACCTGAAGAGGACGGATGAATCCCGTTTTAATGCAGCCTTTTGGCTTTAATAAGACTTTAAGGTTGACGCAGTTCACGAGACCTATTCCCTCGTTTCGGGTGAAAACGGGCTGAGCTTTCGTACAGC